AGTTCCCAAAGATAGAGACGTTCCTGCTGTAGAAACTGGGCTGGTATATGAGGAAGCTGCAACAGTGTAAGTGGTGGTGCCAGAACTGGCACTCGTAGCTGTAACGGTGTTTGTTACAGGTGTAGCTGAGCTAGTCTTAACAGCATCTGCATTTCGTTGACGAAGGGTGTCCAATTGCCGTTGAGCCAAGTCTTTTGCAAGCTTGGCTCGAAGTTCCGCTGAAGATTGGCCAGCGATTTCCTTCATCTTCTCAAATCCGGGCAGCTCTTTCGGGAGCGGCGGATAAGAAGGTGAGTTCCCATCCATTTATTAATTAACTATAGTTTTCGATTACGAAAATTATAGAAATCAAATTCAAAATGTTCAAAAGTCTTTACTTCTTATCTCCCGCTGGGCAGTGAAGGCGCAAGCGAGAGACAAGACCGAGCCCAATGGGCGAAGTCGTAAACAACGCTTACACTATGCTCGGGTGGTAAACAAGTCGGACTCGGTAAAGACCCCGGCGGTACGGAGTCTAAAAATAGATTACGCGCAGATAAGCACAACAGAAGAAGTTGAGGATCACTCTCTGGTTGCTAATTAGGAGCTTACACGACCGTACGAGACAAGTGCACAAACTCGACTGATATAAATTTCGTGTTTAAAACTTGTACGTATTTATAAAATATAGATGAAGACTCAAATCTTGGTTTGCTCTGTGTGTAAAATAAGTGATTTTGAAGCTTAGCCCGGGATTCAATTTTTAACTTAAGTGCTTTAGGCTGAGTCGATCTAGGCTTTTTGTTCTGATCAAGAATATATATGGTTTAAAGGGTCGTAAATTACCGCTTTGCAAGCTTTTGACTAAAATTATAAAACCCTGCAAGGGTATAAAAATATCGATTTTATCGAAAAATATAAAAACAAAATTAATTTTTATATTAAGTAAAACATAGCATTATGGCTATTACTGAAAAATATAAAAAATAAATAAAATTACATTTTTAAATTTCTGAACATAAAAATTTTTCAAAATTGATTTTTGTTTCTTTTCCGATTATATTAAATCGGACAGTACCTTTTTTTTGTTGCCTTCCATACTATTTGCTACCCTCTGAAGACTGAAACTTACAAATTTTAAGTTAAAATCTCAATGTATAGTTAAAAATATATTTCTATATGTTGATATTTACGTGCATATGATTTTTTTTCTTAGTTTTTAACTATTCTTTTGACTTAGGCGTGAACAGCATCAGTATAGGATTCGTTTTACTTTAAACCAAGTAAGAAATATTAACTAAAACTAATTATAACAGATTTGTTTTTTCGAATGTGTGGAAAAGGATCTTGAAAAACTTAGATTTCTGGATGGATCTCATCAATTTCCTTACTCTCCACTTTAAAGTTAAACTTATAGAAACAAATTTTGATTCGATTAATGGGTAAATGGCATCAGAGAACACAGCCACTTAAAGTAGAATTTTGGCCAAAAATTTAGCTTTGTGACAATTCGAAGCTTAACCTAGGGACGAGCACTACTAAGTAGTTCGGCCATCTTTAGTTTTGCTGTGGGTTAGATGATGACGCGATAGTAGGAATCGGAAATGCTGTACAAGGCCACAATTGGTGTCTTGGCATCGGTTAGATAGTCCATGACCTCGTCATTTATATCCGATATATAGCGTTTGTATTTGGGAAATCTGTAAGATATAAATTCTTATCAATTTCAGATTTCTTTGTAATTTCTTTACTCACCTTTCAATCACAAAGTTGATTTCCGGTTCAGTCTCTTTTTTGCGTATTTCCCGCGGGTTGATGGCCCCCACAATGGCATTTACCACAGCCGGCGGCAGCTCCACCACCAGCACCACAAAGGTCTCCTTCTTGATGAACTGAGCCAGGGTGGAGCTCATTTGCTGCGCCACCTGATTCTCCAGTCGCCGCTTATAGTTGGCTGTGGGCTTTTCGTGGGTGAGAAAGGAGACCTGCAGATTCGGCAACTGGCTGTAGCTGTAGCTGTTCTTGATGGTGGCATTCGAGGCGGATGTGCTGAGTCCATTCTCGCCGCGCTCCTTGCCGCCGCTGCTGCCACCGCCACAACCACCACCAGCACTCGTGTTGAACACCTGGCTGGAGTTGTCCACAGTGGCTCCGCTTATGGCCTCCGTCCTTAGAAGTTTCTCAATAAACTCCACCAGTTCGGTTCTCGTTAGATGCCGCTCCTGAAAGCGGTCTCTCTCAAACGAACGCACTCGAAGGGAACCATTCTCGGCCACCAGGATAACATGCAGAGCTCCCAGTCGAGCTAGATCCTGGGCTTCATCGCCGACTTCGCTGGCGGCCTCCACAATGCCGCAGCGGATACCCACCGACCAGAGCAGCCGCATTATATAGGTTACATCCTTGAGAGGCGGTCGCGTGCCACACACACAGATGCCCACATCGATGGCTCGACAATCTTTGGCATACTCCACGGCGGCCACCAGTTTGTCCAGATAGAAAGTCATGCCTGCGCCACTGAGCACTCCCCTCGATGGCAAGGCGCAGTTGAAGCTTTGAGCCTGCCGCTGAAACTCGTGCAGCATGGCATCGTAACGCTCTCCAATTGCCAGAACCGAAGGATGACCAGAACGATTGGGCTTGAGGTCAGCAGTCATCTGCCAAACGATGCCACCACTGCTGGCACGCTCGAAGCTGAGCGGCAGACCTGCCCAAATGTGAATGGGACACTGGGAGAGCAAAAGAAGCTGCAAGATCAGGGAATTTTGTATAAATTCCTTTAAATCATTTTATTGATGTTATTAGTTATGTGCCTAAAAGTATGTTATAACTATTTATGTATTTTTTAGATAGGTTACTAAAAACCAGGCCGAGTCAAGAAATGTAATAGGATCATAATTCGTATTCTTAAAAATGGAATTATTATTATATTTTTGATATAAGTATTTAATACCAACACATTAATCATATTTGAACAGACAGACTACCTCATTTCCTCCCTTAATGCAGTATTAACCCTCGGAATTTTCTAATAAAAATAATAATAATTCCATGGTTTTTATCCACTTAACTTTATCTGTTTATTAGAATTATTCCGTACCATTTAATTCTCGAGGTACCATATCCAGAAGCTGCTCATTACCTTCCGTTTAGATACTTTCTTGGCTTCACCGCAACATGTGCTTGCAATTTAGTCTCCGCCTATCAATTGCACATTGGCTGCCCTGTTGTCCGGTTGTCCTTCTGTCTGCCTGTCATTTGTTTATTAGATTTGTCAATGCAACAGTTTTTTTCGCTTCTCCTCTTTTTTGTGGTCAACTAAGGGAGGCAACGAGGACACATTCACAAGGCCATAAAAGTCATTGGAATTGCAAATGGATGGACAGGAGGAGCGAAAAAGTGGCGAAAACTTTTCGGGAACGACAAATGCGCCTGTCACATGCAGGCGATGCGTATAAATTAGTGGCCATTGTGCGGCATCTTAAATGTCAAAAGTGACACCCTCGCCCCCAGCTTTTTGGCCTTTGTCCGGCGCACCTGAGGCACTCGGAACATTTGACTCAAACTGCCGGGGAGGACAATAAATTTCCCTTTTTTGCAGGCAAAGGGCCAGGGAAAAGGAGGAGGACTCGTACATGAAACTACTCGGACTCGTTGTGGGTGGGCCGGGGAGAAACGATGACCACTGGACGCACGGGTGAACACGAGACCCGATCCCATTCTATTGCATAAAAAACAGCGTTACGGCCAAGGAACAACTTGCTGGCTAATAAAAATGGAGAGGGATCAGGAAAAGCAGGGACAAACCGCTGCAGGGAGGTCACCATTATGTCCAGGCTGGGGGTGTTTAAGCGGAAAAGGTAAGTGCCATTGAGGTGGCCGGGCTGGCAGGGATCTTAGTCAATATCTCAGGCACTCTGCCATTTTTCTTCATTTTTTTAGCACACGGCCACCGGCATACCGGCATATGTGCAAGTTACCCGGAAGTTAAGCTGTTGTTTATGTGTCACAATAAATCATGTTCAATGCACACGAAACAATTTCGTCTAAGTGGATAATGGAAAAGTCTCCCGTCGTAGTTGCTTCCTTTTGCCTCTTCCTGAAATGGCAGACACTGGTGTAGTTTTTATGTAGCTTCTGATTAAATGCCATAAAGGAGCGAGAGTCCATTGAATTGACAGTGCAAACTGGCAAGGAAGAGACTTTGGAAAAACGGGATAGATGCAAGGATTGAAAAAGTTGAGCTTCTTGAATGATTATTAAATGTAAACAATATATATAATTAATATATATTTAACGAATACAAAACGTATTATAGTGCTTTAATTCCTCAAACTTAGTTTTTTATAAATAAATACCTACCATTCAATGTACTACCGTCTTAGCAAGCCTCCCTAGCATTTCCCACCACCATTATTCTCTCTGAAAATCGCTTAATATATTCAGATAAACACACCCGCAAGTCCCAGTTGACTTTTTTTTTTAAACGCTTCTAAATGCAAATAAAAGAAGTCACTTAAAAAATTATTCAACCCACACTTGACGGGCGGGCGACTGGGGACTAGCATCAGAGGTAGGAATAAATGTGTTAATGTTCGCCCCGAAACGCTTTTCGAATTCGTGTCAGTTTCGCTTTTACGAGGTAACCAAATTCACAAATTCGCGGTGGATTGTGTGTTGGGGGGGGCACGCGTGTCACTTACAGTGATTTACGGGGAATGGGAGCCGGTTTCCCGGGGGAAAAGGTTCGGGAAAGGGCAGCCTCAGTGCCACAAATGGCATCTACGTGGTCTGGAACTGGCGGATACGCAACCAGACGTACCCAGAAGACAAATATTTCGTCATATACATATATACCGGTGTAAATATTTAGTATTAAAATTATTATTTATTATTATTTAAGCGTGGACAGCTGTTGCTTTCGAGTTTGCTTAGCCTTTCTGAAGTTCAAGGTTTAATAATCGCTTATAAATACTTCGATTGCTATAAAGAATTCCAGCAGTTAAATTTCAACGCTGAAAATGTCAGCTCATCATTATTTCGGAGTCCTCGTGCTAATATGTAGCGGGAGCTTGAGTTATTCCTACAGACTCCTAGAGAGCCAAACCTGTCCAGCTCCCATGAAGATGCCGCAGTTTGAGGAACACCATCTCGATGATCAGCACAGAAACTTTTACAATGTCCACGAAGTTCCCAGGAAGCCTCCCACCCAAATGAACGAGATTAAGTCGGAAAACTGGCTAATGCGAATTATCAATATAAAAACCATAAGGCAGAACTCCATTGAGGAAGACCCCCGAACGGAGCAAAAACAACATATGGAAGGATGGCTGAAGCGGTTCTTAAACATCCTCAACTCAAAAAGGGAAGACCCACCGCCTAAAAGGAATGACGAACCTAAGATATGGTTCATATTAAAGAAGAATCCTTATCCTAGGGAAGAGCATCGCATTGTAAAGAGGGACCCTCTACCAAACAGTATCATGTGACTAAAATAAACTTTACCAGTGCCATGTAATTTTTAACACATATGTTCTCCACACCCTCGTCATCGAATCTTAAATAGTTTCTAAGATCTATTACCCCTAATTAGGAAAAGTTTTCAAGAACACATGTTACCAGAAAGATGGCAATAAATTAAATCATTTTTCCGCTTTGGCAGCAAAGGATTTACATTTTCGAGACACATTCAAGACATTTTCAGCCATAAATAATTCCCTCACATAGAAAAGCTTCTTTATGCCACTTGATTGCGGCTTGAGGGAAGCCCCCTTTTCCGCCCACTCCACCACCATAAAAAATTATATTATATGCATGACCCTAAATTAATCTAGCGAAACCTTTTTCATTTTACATCGAGCAACGAGCTTCAACCCCTGGTTCCAAAGGACATCAAAGCCAGTGAAGTATGACAAACGAAGTTATTTGAATATGACCGTAAATATCATATGAGAACAAATTAAATTTGGCTTATGAACCTGGCCAGCCAGTAGCTCGAGAATACTAATAAAAATTATATAGATATTTTATTGTACTGAGCTTTTGGGCCAGCATCAGCAAGGTTTTTATACCCTTGCAGGGTATTATAATTTCAGTCAGAAGTTTGCAACGCAGTGAAGGAGACCTTTCCGACCCTATAAAGTATATATATTCTTGATCAGCATCAACAGCCGAGTCGATCTAGCCATGTCCGTCTGTCCGTCTGTCCATCTGTCCGTCTGTCCGTCTGTCTGTTTCTACGCAAACTAGTCCCTCAGTTTTAAAGCTATCTGAATGAAACTTTGTATAGGGTCTTCTATATACTCTCACTGCTATATATGTCGGAACGGGCCGGATCGGACGACTATATCATATAGCTCCCATACAAAATTTGTATTACAAATGTACGATAAATTTTTAGAAAAAAAATTATAACTTAGCTGTTTTTCAACATTTTTGCACCATTTTTTAGATATGGCCATTTTATATTATCCGAAAAGTGCTTGTCAAACTGTAAAAGTTGAATCTCACTTGGACCAGTGCTTATCAAACTGTAATCTGAACTTCCGCCTAAAAGATGCCACGTTTTTAATAGAAAACCCCAAAAGTATGCTTTAATTTTTTAATAATGCTAATGAGCATCACAGATGCAAGTGAGCAAAATTTTTCATTCAATTTTGCCGCTTTCCAGACTGGGGTAACAGGCGAACAGAAACCAGCAGCAAGCAACTGAAAACTGGTATAAACTGTTATAAAAACTTTTGGGCAAATATAATAATTGGTATAAACTGTTATATTTCATTTTATGCATTTATACCTATTTGTTGCCGACAACAACAGCTTGATGGCAACAACAACCCCTTTACAACAACATCCCTGCAGCAGTCCATACAAATTTCTGAAATTTTCCATGCAAATTGCCCGTTTCCCAAATTGGGATAACAGGCGAACAGAAACCAGCAGCAAGCAACTGAAAACTGGTATAAACTGTTATAAAAAGTCCAAGTTTCGAACCATTGATCTTGGAGTAAGCGAAGACTCAAACCAGATGTGACCATATTGTACATTTTGTCCCAATAAAGAAATATAGCTAGATGGGCATCACTGCTATTACGCCTGATATATTGCCTCCCAATATTGCAAAATAGCTACATGAGCATCACTGATGCAAAGTCTGATTTTATAGCCTCCCAATATTGCAATATAGCCAGATGAGCATCACTGCCATTAAGCCCGATTTTATAGCCTCCCAATATTGCAATATAGCTAGATGAGCATCACTGATGCAGATGAGCATCACTGATGCAGATGAGCATCACTGATGGAAGTGAGCATCACTGATGCAGATGAGCATCACTGACGGAAGTGAGCATCACTGATGGAAGTGAGCATCACTGATGGAAGTGAGCATCACTGATGGAAGTGAGCATCACTGATGGAAGTGAGCATCACTGATGGAAGTGATGCTCACTGATGGAAGTGAGCATCACTGATGGAAGTGAGCATCACTGATGGAAGTGAGCATCACTGATGGAAGTGAGCATCACTGATGGAAGTGAGCATCACTGAAGGAATTGAGCATCACTGATGGAAGTGAGCATCACTGATGGAGATGAGCATCACTGATGCAAGTGAGCAAATTTTTTCATTCGATTTGGCCGCTTTCCAAACTGGGGTAACAGGCGAACAGAAACCAGCAGCAAGCAACTGAAAACTGGTATAAACTGTTATAAAAACATTTGGGCAAAAATAATAATTTGTATAAACTGTTATATTTCATTTTATGCATTTATACCTATTTGTTGCCGACAACAACAGCTTATGGCAACAACAACCTTTTTACAACAACATCCCTACAGCAGCCAATCTAAATTTCCGAACATTTCCATGCAAATTGCCCGTTTCCCAAATTGGGGTAACAGGCGAACAGAAATCAGCAGCAAGCAACTGAAAACTGGTATAAACTGTTATAAAAAGTCCAAGTTTCAAACCATTTCGGAGCCGGCGGAAGTAAGCGGAGACTCAAACCTTTTGAATCCAAATTTAGGTGTTATTTTACAACTGCACCTGGGCACACTGAAACTGATCGTCGTTAAATTCAAATTTGACAGTTAAATTCAAATTCAAATTTGGCAGTTAAAATATTTAAAAATTTTTTTTAAATTCTAAAAAAATTTTAAAAATCAAAAAAAATAAGTTAAAATATTAGAAAAAAATTTTAAATCTAATTTGAGACATGAGCTTCTGGTATTTTATCAGAATTTTGGTATAAATTTTATGAAAATCGGACGACTATATCTTATAGCTGCCATAGGAACGATAGGGAAAGTAATAGACAAAATTATAACTTCGTTGTTTTTCAACGTATTTTCATTTACTTTAAGACATGAGCTTATTTCAGAATTTTGGTAACAATATTATGAAAATCGGACAACTATATCATATATGTAGCTGCCATAGAAGCGATCCGTAGATGTAGAGAAAATGTAAAGCTGGGAATGTATAACTGTAACTTTCAAACTGTAAACATAATAAGTATAGGTAAAATGTTATGAAACTCTGCTTAGTGTCTGTTTTCGGCATTATAATTTATGATATAAATATGAAAAACAATCTGCAAGGGTATACAAACTTCGGCGTGCCGAAGTTAGCTTCCTTTCTTGTTTTTTATTATTTTTTTAAATAACTTGATATTAAAATCTAGACCGGTACTCAGTACTCTCCTCTCATTCAAATTCAGCTGCTAGATTTTGGCATTCCACAAACTTAAACGCGACGAATTCAGCAACTTGCCAACTTCTTTGCAATATGTTGTCGCCAGCAGCGAATCGGAATTATGCAAAAATAACAAAGAAGAAAAAATGGGAAACAAAAGTAAGAAATAGAAGCAGAATTTCATTTGCAATGCGAAATGTTTGCTCAGGCGGTGTCCAATTCAGATGCAGACTCCTTGCCGCTGCCACAAAATAAACTCATTCGCATGCAGTTGGCGTCTCGCAAAGTGGATATTGATATTTTGTCCTTAAATTTTGTTATTTATGTGGCCACGGGGTTGTGAGTCCCGGGAAGGCGTAACCCCCTCGGCCAACTTAAATAAACGAAACAGAAGTTTACAATTTGGAGCAGACAAAGTAACAGAATTCCCGTCAAGTTGTGCAAATTTAACGCGACATTGTCTGAGACGAAGGACTATGCCTAGGACCTCCCCTTATTTTTTTTTTTTTATTTTTTATTGGGGGTGTGTGTCCTGTGCCCATTGACATTCAAGTCATGTGTCAGAGCAGAGGCCGATGCTTAACTCTGACAGACCAAAACCCCGAAAAGTTTGCCCATAAATTGTTGCAAAAAACTGAAATGTTTCAACACATTGAAAGGAAAGTCTTGTTCGACACAGGCACTTGAAAATTTCAATTGCCAGCAAATTTATTTTAAGAGAGCGTGAAATTTATGATTGACAAATTGAATTTGAAAATTGAGGAAACATTTTCTTAGGGAAAGTCACGAAACGGGGAAGGAATTTGCAAATGTTGAATAATATTTGGCTTGCCACTCTTTAAGAACTATTTTTTACCCTCGCCGATGGCCATAAAAATGATAAATGATCCCTCAATCGTTCTGCCCCATCACATCATAGAGAGTTCAAGCAATTCGTTATGGTCTTGAAATGTTTGACCAGCACACTTGCCTGCAGGATATTTGGTTATTTCGTATATTAAAGGCATACCAAGTGCGCGTGTCCTATATTGTTTCAGATTGAAAGACCACTAAACACTCCATAAGCAAAAACCATTAAACGTGGCCCCATTAATGGAATGGGATTTTCCCAAGTTCAGTATATTTTTTATCATTTTTATGACTGCCTTGAGTATGTGGGCGTGCATCTGACAGAGTAATCGTATAAATCTTAATGTTTATAAATCAGAGCTCGATTCGGTGCCCCAGGGACAGTCACGGAAGTTTGGGGGCGCAATATCAACCATTAATGATAGATCCGAAAAAATTAATAAAACTATTGAAGGGAAAGTAGCGTATGTAGAATTTTTACATTTAAGAAGTCTTATAATCCAATTTTTTACATTATTTTATCATAAATCAGGGAAAGTATATTAATTTAAAACCTTAAACTGTTGAAAACAAATTTTACATAGCCATATTTTATATCTAAAATGCCACATTCACAACAATATGCCTTTAAAAATATGTTTCATGCCAAGCACTGACCTTGAACTGCAAACAATTTTTTCCCATTTCCCACAAAAAAAGAATATCTCACAAAGAAAATCAAATGCTCATTGTTACGAGAGTTTTTTGTAATATGCAAATAATTTGCTGGCCAAATAGCAACCAACTGTGACCCACCAGATGACAATGCCAACGCCCTCGAACCGAGCCGAAAAGGAATACAAGTCTCCGGGATCCGCAAGGAGTCAAGTCGAGAACAATGCGACTCGAGGCCTACTTGCACTTGCAAGGAAGTTCCGTCTCATCCCATGTCACAGACCAACCCCTC